AAAGAGGACTTCCAGCAGTCAGGAAAACAAGATTCTTTGAGGCAGTACTTATATAGTTTAGAGAGGGCGGGCGCCAGTTCAGGCGCGCATTTCTTCAAGACAATGCCATCCCCAGCACTACTAGCCTTGTTGGGGTCAAAATTGGAGATAATGCCCAATACCAAAAACGGGGCTATGTGCAACCCACTCAATAGGGCCTCAGTTCTAAGAGTCGACTATGGGTACACCGGAAGAGTCGAGCGTTGAGTTGAATGAAAATTTCTGAGCAAAGCATTCAGCCTTGTCGGCAGAGGAGGTCATATATATATATATATATATATATATATATATATATATATATATATATATATATATAGAGAGAGAGAGAGAGAGAGAGATAGAGATAGATAGATAGATAGATAGAGAGAGAGAGAGAGAGAGAGAGAGGGAGAAATTAGAGATTAGAGATTAGGAAAATCTATGACAAAGTGGGAAATATTTTTTGTGTGACGGCTTTGGTTCTTAAACATCACGTAAGTCCAATGAAGTTCAAAGGACGAAACGCTTCACAGGAAAATGTATTGTCCCACTTTATCGTAGACTTCCTTAAAAATTTTTCTTGATATATAAAAATGTGTATATCGTGCTATATATAAAAATAAAAAGAAAGAATATTCAGATTTATAATCCAGAGTTCTTTAGTTTATGTTTTATTTTTTAAAACAGTGCTCGATACACAGTTGAACATAATATAATTACTTTTTTTAAGAATATTTATTCATCGCGATAGAGTATTGGTTAATTCTTGTATAAGTGGTTATATTAAGATGATATTCCATATTTAATTTTAGTTTAATTTAATATCGTGAAAATTATCTTGTTTTAGTTAACTGTTCGATTTAACTTAATATATCAAAAAGATACTTCACTACGTTTTTAGTTTAAAAACCTCACTGAATGATATTTCATCTCGTTTAACTGAATACATACGAACCATAGTTCATAATTAGTATTTTATAATACAAAAAATTAATGGTAAAAAGTAATTAAAATGTTGGAAATGTGTGATAATTAATGTAGAAACTATTTTAATAAAAAAAACTTAATATTAAATTGAATGAAAAACTAATTAAGAAAATTAGAATATTCCTAATACGTTTTCTCTTTCAAATAAGCCGCTAAAATGAAGCCAGGTGATTTATACACAGAAATATATTTTTAAGAAATGAATTAAATTCTGTCTTCTTTTAGTTTATGCTTTGTTCTTTCTTCTCTCTCTCTCTCTCCGTCGCTAGCTTCTGTCGAAGGTTTTGTAGTTTCCTTTCCGTGTCTGCTATCAGCACTGTGTCATCTACGTATCTTATACTGTTAATATTGTGGCCGCCAATGAGCAATCCTGGTAGGCTTTCCCGTTCTCTCAGAATTGCCTCGCTGTATAGGTTGAATATGTCCGGTGAGAAGACACATCCTTGCCTTACGCACCTTTCTATTTTTGTATATCTGCTGAACTCATTTTTTTTTATCTTTATGCAGGCGATTATTTCGCCAATAGAGCTTTTAGATTATACTTATATCTTCCTGAATATCTCAAAGTTGCTTGCTCAGAAACTTTGAGATCTGTAGGAAACCTACCACCCCTCTTGAAGATGAACTTGTCTACAAACAAAGACGTTAAATAGTGGCATGTCAAAAGACAGAGAGAGACGTTCTTAGCTGAGCTAGTTATAGACTACTCAGGCGATTTCTGTACCTACGTACCAACCTAATAAACCCCTTTTTATTGTTACGTGTTATTTGGCGTTTGTCTTTACTAACCCCAAATCAACATCATAACAAGATCTTTGTGGCGTACTTTGTCGAACATCTTTGCGTAGTCTATAAATAACAGCTGCATGTTCTTCTGCACTTGTATTGCTCTTTCTGATAACATTTTGAGCAGGAATTTCTCATTCCTTGTTCCAGTGTCTTTAACGAACCAGCATTGTTCTTGATCTATTTCTGCTGCGCGCTTTATTGATTAGAATACGCATGATTCGTTTTGTTATGTGGCTCATTAGGTTGATTATTTGGTGGATTTCATATTCGTTTACGCCTGATTCTTAGATTTTTAGCAATATAATGGTAGAAGTACTATACAGAAAATTCAGTCTAGCTTTTTACGCATTTTCTTCCAGTAGGGATGTTGAAGGACGACCGTTTCTGTGGTCATCTACCATAGATTCCGTATTCATTAATCAAATTTTTTTTCCGAAGCACGACGTTCATAAACACAGCGCTACCATCACTAGACTCTTGTACCACGGACTCCATTACTCCGTAACGGGATGCTTACTGAGTGCTCTCATATCGTGCCAGGCCTTGTGCCATTCTGTTTTACACTTTCACTCTGAAATAAATCAGAAATTAGCAATTAAATTCTACCACCTTTTGGATCATAAGGTCATGACAAAAGTAAATATGTATAGAGACTTTTTATCATCCAAGCCATTATTTTGTAAAAAAAAAAAAAAATTATCTTCATATGATTTGTATTTACGAAGATATTGTAGAATGCGTTCGAAATTCTCAGAATTAAAAAGTAAAAAAAAGAACGGTAATAATTCTTATTCCAGATTAAAGTTCGTTTTTAATTGTTTTTTATTCTGCTAAATGCTATATATGTATGTATTTTTGAAATTTCTGTTCTCTTGCATTTATCTTCCCATCTATAGTAAAGAAAAGCGTAACCTGAAAAAAATAACTATTAACACAACAAAGCGAATTGAAAAGAAGAATATTAAAGACAATTATTTGACAAAATTTTAATATTTACTTATTCAAATATTCGAGTGTGTGTTTCTGGCCCAAACTAAAACTAAAAATTCAATAATTAACGCGTGTTTGTGCGTGTGTGCGCGCGTGAGGATGCGTGTGTGTGCATTATTAAATCATTAATATTTTAGACAATCTTATGAAAAATAATTTTTTATTCACTCTAAAAAATAAATGTAAATGTTTTTTGATTCGTAACTAATATAAAAAAGTAATTAATTTTCAATTAAATCCCATTAAAGCAAAAACAATGGCAAGCCTTATTATTTAAAATTAATTTAAACGAAATATACTTAAATTCGTAAAACATATTCAATACGAATAATTTTGACAGTAAATCATGTCTGTCTCTGCAAACTTTTATTTAACTAAAAGTTTTTTTTTTCTTTTCAAATACAAATTACTTTAAAGGCAGACATAATCACTTTTCAAAACTAAATTCCCAATGTATCTTGCATCCACTATCTTTCAAAATAGTTTTTAATAAATTTTTAAAAGTAAAACTTTATTTACTTAAACATATCTAAATTCCCCTCCAAATTAAATAGTAAATAAATATTTTTTCGAAAAATTAAGGCTCGCTATAGTTTTTGCTTGAAAAAGTGATTCAATTAAATATGTCTAAATATATCTTAATTTAAGTTTATTAAATTTCTTATTAATAAAAATTTGAAAAGAATTTAATGAACATTTATCTAAGTTTGATTTGTTTAAAAACAATATAATCAAAGTTGTTATGTCAGTATTTGAATCGAGAAAAAAGTGTCATTTCGAAGAAAAATATGGGGATATTCAGCCCCGCTAAGCACCCCGAGCTTTTTAGTGTGATATTTTCCTAAATTTAGTTATTTTTAGCAAACAAAAACAACGATGAAGTTTATTATTTAAAGATTGAATAAAAAGATGGTTGTGAAATATCAATATATTGTCAATAATAAAGTATTATTCAGAGATCTTCCGAGCAACGCCGGTATCCCTGCTAGTACCCATACACCCGCACTTTTACACACACACACACACACACACACATATATATATATATATATATATATATATATATATATATATATATATAACGGGTGTAATAACAAAATGATCCAAATAGTTTAACAGTAAAACTGTTATTTTGTTAGATTAACATTTGAATCGTTGTATCATATAAATGATAAAAGATATTTTACTGGAATTTTCCGAGGTTTTTATAACACTATTGGACTCTACTCTGAGCAATAGGAATGTATAATCACTCACGAAACTTAACAGAAATATCATGATTAAATGGAACATAAACGAAAATAACATGTTCAGTATTAATTAATCATAGCCAGGATGAGAAGAGAATGAAAGATTGAAATAAAGTTTAAATATATATATATATATATATATATATATATATATATATATATATATATATATATGTGTGTGTGTGTGTGTGACGTCGCCCCCCTGGTCGCAGCGTCGACTCTGTCGTTCGATCTCGTTCGCGGCTCCAATTGTGACGTGACGTGATGTAGCCGCCCAAGGGTCGATCCTTGTCACGGACAGCACCAGTTGTGACGTTTTTGCCGCGGCGTCAGCTGTTCGCTCCTCGCTGCTCCAAGTGTGACGCTCTAACCCTTTGGTCAGATGATTACCAGCCTCGCCGTTCCCAACTCACTTCCAACACCTGTTTACTAGGGTAACTGTACTGATCTCCGGTCTGCCTACCCACGTTGTGATTAGATCTTAGACAGACGGGATCAAACAGGGATTGGGGCCGTATGCAAGTTGAGTTCGACGGGGTGGCAACACACAAGTAAAAGAAAAACTCACGAGGCCAAAAATTACTGATAAAAAAGGGTAACAACCTTTTATATCTAATGTTCGTTACATAAAAATTATTCTTACTTCCCGACCCGTTTTGTGGACTGTGGCACCAAGCTTCTACCGTACAATTTAAAGACTTCGAGTTGCCTACTCTCTAGAATTTTGTATGTCGGAGTGTGGTTTGGTTTCGACACTGGGCGCTAATCTCTACCAGTCGTTCACGGCTGATTCTTCTCTTCGGCCTGAGTTGGACGAGCTTATTCACTTCGGCTTGAGTTGGACGAATTTCTTCACTTCGATTTGGGTTGGACGAATCTCTGTTCTTAGGCTTGGTTTGATTTCAACTTCTATGCGCAACTGCAAATAACTTCTTCTTCGTCCGCCCTGCAACTCTTCTCGCCAAGGTCCGAACTCTTCTCTCTGCCGTCTGAGACTGACTCTTCTCTCTGCCTTCCGGGAACTCTCTTGCCTGTCTGGCCTGTTCTTCTGCCTGTCTGGCCTGCAATTCTTCTGCCTGTCTGGCCTGGCTCTTCTGCCAATTCTTCTGCCTGTCTGGCCTGCAGCTCTTCTGCCTATCTGGCCTGCAATTCTTCTTCTGGCCTGCTCTTCTGGCCTGCTGTCGCTCCAACTTCTCTGCGGCTTTCGAGCAATTTTCTTCTCTTCGACTTGGCTGCAACTTCTCTGCCGTCCGCTCTCCAACTGCTCTGGCCGTCCACCCGCAACTCTGATTTCTGTCGATTGGGGTCCTTGCTTTTATTGACGCCGCAACAAACTGGGGTGGGTCTGTCGGCGTCAGGGTTTTCTTGATAATTCCAAAAGTCGCATTATTTCTGATTTCCCATTTTCGCTCTTACTCTCACCCCTACTTCCTCACAGTGCCTGGGGGGGGAGGCGCATACCCATCTCTCCCGGTCTCCCGTATATCAGGTGACCGTTTTCGACCAATGGGTCCTGGTCGAGCGTCCTTTCTCCTCTTCCTCGCATATCACGTGACCGCTTTCGGCTAATGAGATTCTGGTTGGGCGTCTCTCGCCCCTCGTGACGTCTCCAATCGGGCGTGGCCTATCCGGGGCTTTGTTCTGGGGAAGAAACACCTTGCTAAAAAAACAAAATCCAATTTGGCCTCTTTCGCACGCACGAAAATGACAATCTCGGCCTTTCTCACCTTTTGGCTTTTGTCAAAACAGCCCGCCGCTAATTAGATGTGACTTCAGGAAGAATTTTTCTCGTCTTGCTGGCGCTTTCTGTGAGCCAAAACAATTGTTTTCATTCCTTTATTTTCGCTCAGGCCTGATAGCCAAAATCTTAATTATCTGAATTGAAAATATCTTCACTTTATCATCGTGGGGGTTCTAATCTTCAACTCTAGAGCTGGTCAGGATCTGTATACAATTCCAGCGGTCACCTCTTATCCCAAAGACATCCCTTTTCGATTAATATTTCTTTTTCCATTGTTCTAAAAAAAATCGCATTTCTCCAAATTGATAATGAACTTCCACATTCCGCGGACACAAAAGTAGGCCAGGTGTTTTGACCGATTTTATTAATCGTCCGTCTTGATGTCTTTCCACTTGTACCATGTCTGTTCCCTTTCTTTCTTTTAATTATCTCTAACTCTATTCTTTCAAATAACAATTTCTATTGTTCGTGAAATTCGGTCAGGCGCGTTGGCCTAGATATCTCTTGACACCTGTTTTCGCTTATGACCGGCTTTTTGCATTATCCATCTCTCCTCTCTTTTCTTTCTTTTTCTTTTTTTTTTTTTCTTCTTCCCTTAGGATCGCCTAAATACAATTAGAGAATTATTCTCAAAACTCAATTATTCTTCGTCTAAATAACTAACAACTGGTTAATAAACCGAATAAAAATTAAATCATATTTCTATGAATATTTCTTTTTAGTTTTTCTAATAATGCAGGGTGCCACATATAGCTAAACAGTCTGTCTGTGAATGACTATATATATATATATATATATATATATACTATTCAGGATCATATTTCAGCTAATTCAAGATGATCTTCGCACTATCTAAACTTTCAAGTTTCTTTACTTTTGAACGTTTATTTAATTTCAAGTCATTTTTACTTCGAGTTTTAAGCAGTAAATTCGACCTTATTTTCGAACGATCCTTTGTGGCCGAGCGGTCAAGGCACGTCAGCGAAAATGACGGTTCCGTATAGGATGCAGGCTCGAATCCTGTCAAAGGACGAATATTTTCTATGAAATTTTCTCGGACATTTTGTTGTTGTAAATGTTATTTAATACTGTTTATTATAAACAGAGCAATTACTTAAATACTTGTATCTATAAAAAGAACGTTAAACATAAAAATGTCTTTAATAAATAAATTGTCGGACTTTGTCCATTTCTTAATATATATATATATATTTAGAGGGAGAGGGGTCAAAGCAACTCCATATTTAAAACTGTTAATAACTTCATTGATTATTGACAGTTATTCATAAGTCGTTTTATTTTTAACAATATAATGGTAGAAGGACTATACAGAAAATTAATTCTAGCTTTTATGGATGCTGAAGGATTACCGCTTCTGTAGGCATCTCCCACAGATTCCGTACTCATTAGCCTGGGATCAAAATTTCTAACGGTTTTGGCATCAACTGAAGCACGAGGTTCATAAAGCATAACTACACCATAACTACATTTTTGTTCCACGTATTTCCTCACTTCGTAACGGGGTGCTTGATGAACGTGGTCATGCAGTGCCAGTCACTGTGCCGTTCTGGTTCACTTTGAAAATAATACAAAAATTAGCAATGGAATTCTATCACTTTATGGATGATAATATATTGCATTTCATGCAAATAGGATGATATTAGCAAAAGTTTAAAAAATTGTCAAGAGGGGGGTTTCTTTTCACTCTCGCTATATATGTTCTTTTACTACAGTACCTAACTTGCATTGCTTTTACTTCCCTTGTCCGCTTTTTTTAGATTAGTCACCGTCTTTTATCAATTACTATTAGCTCTTAGTTATCTTTGGAACCGGCGCAATAAATCACGGTCTCAAGCCCGCGTTTTATATTTTCTCATCTCGCTAAATCTATCTCCTACAATAGCATCACCGTTATGTAACTTTTAACAGCCTTTCTCTCTGTATTGGTATCCTTTAATATCATGTCTTCATTTGAACCTGTTATACCGGAACATACCTATTCTATTGTAAATAGACTCTCCCACAGATAATAAGTAGTAGTAGTAGCAGTCGTCAGGGGGCTCAGTGAGTTGAGTGAGTCAGTCGATATCGGACATTAAAGTATCAACCCCACAAACAGATTGCTGCGTCATTAACTATTATTTTCAAGTTCCTAACGTTTTGTACGTCGAACCTAATTTACGAGCGACTTAGTGAAATACAAGCCCCCACTGTGAAAACCACTCTACAACAGAACCACTGTTGCCATCGTTGTATGCCTTCATTTTACGTTTGTATTGTTACAGTTTTTTTGTGTATATATATATATATACGTGTAACGAGTGAGTTAGTCAAAATGACTTAATTCCCTTTATAGTCTACCAATAGAAGATTAACCAATCAGAAGCCGCAGAACATTGTATCCGTCGTGTATAAAGGCAGCCATCTTTGTTTACCATACCAGAATGACCAGTGCCAACTTGTCAGGCGAAGGTGACAGAAGGAAGAACTACGCTCTGCTATTTTGCTGCGATATCCACTGCAAACCTGAACTACGCTTTCCTACTGTCTCCGAAATATTCACTGCTAACCTCTGGATTCTATACTCGAAGACGACCGTCATGAATTTGTAACATGTATCTCCCTATGCAGAATCCTATCAGCACGTGTTCATTGTTTACATACTGTTCTCAAACTGTAATTTCGTGTAACTTTCGACCTTTTTGCGAAATATTTATATTCATATAAGCAAAGTATTCGCTAACTCTTTTACATAATTAGACCCGGAATATTACCGCACTTTTCAGCCTCTAACTGCTCTTGTCATAATTCTTTCTCCTTTCGCTTTTACCTTTTTTTATTTAATTGTTATTTAGACTCGATTGGTTTGTATATATTTGTTTTTCTAGTTTCACTATGTTGGAACCGAATGAACTTGCTGGTGAACAGTGTTCAAATTTTTAATTCACTTAAAGTTTCTATCAATTTCGTGGTACACAAGCGTGCAAGACAGGCGCATCCTCATGTGGCAGAAACACTAATTTTTGTATATACACACATTTACACACACACACATATATATATATATATATATATATATATATATATATATATATGTGTATTTAAACAACATGTTTTTTGATTCATACGTTTCTTTAAATACTATTAACAAGTGTTGTCTATTTATTATATGTAAATTCTTTTCATACCGTCTGATAAGCTTAATAAAATTATCATTAAACGAAGAAAGAAAATCACAATATTGATCGATATTTTTTAATCCAATCTAAGCTAAACAAATCAACTATGGAATCTCTACAGATATCCTTAAATGTCTATAATTGGTAACAGAAGCCATTAGTTTATACCAACAGCTTCCCATACTTAATACTTCTCGAATTCACTCTCGCGTGGTCATGTGAGACGTCATGAGCTACGGTGCGATTTTCGCTTCTAGCGTCTTATATGCACGTATTTATCGTTGCTTGGAAATCATCCATGTAAACAATAATATACTATCAACACTGTCTTGTCCGTATATTGCTTAATATGTTGTACAGTAATTGACAACTTTGATAATGGCTTATGTAAGCCGAAAGCTTAGATTGGATTAAAAACAATATGGAACAATATTGTGATTTTGTTTCTCGCTTAATGATAATGTTATTAAGCTTATCAGACGATTTGAAAAGAAATTACATAAAATAAATTGACAAAACTTGTCTATATTATTTAATGAAACATGTATGAGAACACACATATATATGAATACTTTGCACGTTTCTATCATATGGATATAAATATATAGATTGTATAATCTTTACTGTAAATATATAAGAATGGTTTATATTATTTCTCTTTCAATAGTTCTGGCTTGCCAACAACAGCGTATCCGATATCACTTTACGGTTATTTATTGGTTCAAGTAGAAGATAGCTGTTTCTCAACTGTCTCAGTTTCTTCCGCATTGGGATAATTGACAGAACTGGCTGTCTTGACATATCTTTGTACAACAATTGTCTTTTATCTTCTTTTTTCTTATTCTTCTCTTTCTTCGTTGTCTTCTCGTTCTACTTCATATTTTTCTTCTCCTTCTCTTCTAATTTCTTCTTCTTCTTCTTCTTCTTCTTCTTCTTCTTCTTCTTCTTCTTCTTCTCCTCCTCCTCCTCCTCCTTCTTCTTCTTCTTCTTCTTCTTCTTCTCTATGTTTTCCTTCTTCTTTTTTTCTTCTTCTTCGTTTTTCTTCTCCTCTTCTTTTTTCTTCAAGGATGTCTTTCTTCTTCTTCGTTTCTCCTCCTCCTTTTTTCTTCTTTCTTCTTTTTATCTTTCTTCTTCTTCTTCTTCTTCTTTTTCTTCTTCATTTCCTGCCGTCTTCTTCTTCTTCGTCGTCGTTGTCCGTCATCCTCTACTTTTTCTCCTTCAATTCTTTTCTTTCTTTTCTTCTTCTTCTTTGTCGTTCTTTCTTCATCGTTGTCGTCTTCTTCTTCTTTTCTCCTCTTTCTTTTTCTTCTTTGGCTCCTCCTTCTCTTTTTTGAATCATCTTCTTTTCATTTTTCTTCTTTTTCTTCTTCTTCTTCTTTGCGTCGTGTCTTTTCAAGATGTGGGCAGTCCACAGCTTCCTACCATCCCTTTGTATTGTTTAACAATGTTTCTCCTTTTACAACTATTCCACACATTCCGTGAACTCACATCCATTTACACAAGTTCATAACTTCAATTACTCGTTTTTTTTTTCCGTCTGTCTCTTCTTGCGTTCAATATGTCGTGTGAGAGTCGATTTTTCCCAGCGTTTTATGTCCCAGATATTTCAACATTCTCTTTATGTTACAAAATATAAATGACTGTTTTCTTTCCACTGTCCTTTAAACATAATTGTTGCTTATACACACCATACATGTTATTGCCAAAATAATTCTGCAATGGCTGACGTTTGTTGCTTCAAGTCTTCTCTTCATATGTGACGAAGTTATATTACATTCACTTCTATATAAGAGGATTGATATTATATAGCCGTTTCGTGCATTATTCTTTGTTTCTAACAAAATCTTCTTGCTTATTCGTGCGTTGTTTAACTTTTTGCAAATTGTATTTTGATGACACGACACACCTTCTGAATTCTTTTTCAGATTATCCAGATTCTGTTAAAACTATACCAAGACATTCAAAACCATAATCATTTATTTTTACTATTTCGTTCCTATCGAATTTATTGTCGCCATTGATTTAATAATATTAGAATGACAATCTAGTAAATTTGATGAAAGGAAGAAAACATATTAAAGAAATCTTACAACAAAAAATATTATACATAGTTGTGATTCCCATGATGTTGTGTATGATACACCTAATTTACATAAGCGGACTACCGACCATATAAATATGGGTTGGTACCGGAAGACGGGGAAGATAGTAGAGATTAAGAAATTGAATCCAGAGACTCTGCCCGACTGCGATTTAGTCAACCCATTATGCAGGAACAGTCTTCCCAAGAATATACCAAACTAACTGTAAATATTGTGTACCTATTCTTTGTTTCAATACATTTTGTTAACGTACATTTTGTGTTGTATTATTCCATGCTTATTTAAGCTTCAACACATGATAAACCGGATTTTACAAAAGAGATAAGTTCAGAAATAGAGAATAATGAACAAAACAATAAAGATAAAAATACAAGTCAAAAATTGATTATAACTGACAAAGTTTAACATCAGGAGTGAGATTAATATTAATGCTACTAATACATTTATGTAATCAGGTCAGACGAGAAATAAAGAATAAGCCTACAATAAAAGCAAGAGAAAGAAAATGAAAGAAATTCTAGTCTAAAATAACTGACAATGCTTCAGTTAAGAAATTAAATGCAAGAGAAATATGATGAAAGAAATACTAGTGAAAAATGAATAATAATTCACAATGCTTATTCGTAAAATTTGAATCCTTTTACTACTATTAAAGCATATTTAAATAAGCAGAACCGTGAAAAATAAAGAATAAGCCCCAATAAACCAAATACTAGTCCAAAATGAATAATAATTGACAATACTTCATCTAAAAATTTGAATCTTATTAATACTACTAGTATCAAAGCATAATTAAGCCTAGCCAAGAGAAATAAGATGAAAGATTTAGTCCAAAATGAATAATTTTGACAATACTTCATCTAAGAAATTTGAATCTTATTAATACTACTGTAATAAAGCATATTTAAGTAAGCAGGGCAGATGAGAAAAAAAGAATCGCCTCAAATAAAAAGCAAGAGAAATAAGATCAAAAGCAAATACTAGTCAAAACGAATAATTTTCTTCATCTAAGAAATTTGCTTATTAATAATTTTGAGAAATGTCTCCAAGAGAAATAAGACATATGAAATTTCAAAACGAATGTCCAATTCTAAGAAATCGAATCTTATTAACTACTAGTAATAAAGCATATTTAGTAAGCAGTTTTGATGAGAAATAAAGAATAACTACAAAAAATAAATACTAGTCCAAAACGAATAATTTGACTTTCATCAAAATTTGAATCTTATTAATACTACTAGTAATAAACATATTTTAAGTAAGCAGGGCAGATGAGAAATCAAATAAAAAGCAAGAGAAATAAGATGAAAAGAAATACTAGTCCAAAATGAATAATAATTGACAATACTTCATCTAAAATTTGAATCATTAATACTACTAGTAATAAAGCATATTTAATAATGGCAGATGAGAAATAAAGAGCCTGAATAAAAAAGCAAGAGAAATAAGATGAAAGAAATACTAGTCCAAAATGAATAATAATTGACAATACTTCATCTAAGAAATTTGAATCTTATTAATACTACTAGTAATAAAGCATATTTAAGTAAGCAGGGCAGATGAGAAATAAAGAATAAGCCTCAAATAAAAGCTAAAGAAAGAAATAAGATGAAAAAGAAATACTAGTCCAAAACGAATAATAATTGACAAACTTCATCTAAGAAATTTGAATCTTATTAATACTACTAGTAATGTTATATTTAAGTAAGCATAGATGAGAAATAAAAGAATAAGCCTTGAATAAAAAGCAAGAGAAATAAGATGAAAGAAATACTAGTCAAAAACGAATAATAATTGACAATACTTCATCTAAGAAATTTGAATCTTATTAAACTACTAGTAATAAAGCATATTTAAGTAAGCAGGGCAGATTAAAAGAATAAACCTCAAATAAAAAGAAGAGAAATAAGATGAAAGAAATACTAGTCCAAAACGAATAATAATTGACAATACTTCATCTAAGAAATTTGAATCTTATTACGACCAGTAATAAAAGCATATTTAAGTAAGAGGGCAGATGAGAAATAAAGAATAAGCCTCAAATAAAAAGCAAGAGAAATCTAAAAATACTAGTCCAAAACGAATAATAATTGACAATACTTCATCTAAGAAATTTGAATCTTATTAATACTACTAGTAATAAAGCATATTTAAGTAAGCAGGGCAGATGAGAAATAAAGAATAAGCCTCAAATAAAAAGCAAGAGAACAAGAAAAAGAAATACTAGTCCAAAACGAATAATAATTGACAATACTTCATCTAAGAAATTTGAATCTTATTAATACTACTAGTAATAAAGCATATTTAAGAAGGGCAGATGAGAAATAAAGAATAAGCCTCAAATAAAAGCAAAGAAATAAGATGAAAGAAATACTAGTCAAAAACGAATAATAATTGACAATACTTCATCTAAGAAATTTGAATCTTATTAATACTACTAGTAATAAAGCATATTTAAGTAACCAGGGCAGATTAAGCCAAAAAAAAAGCAAGAGAAATAAGATTAAAGAAAACTAGTCCAAAATGAATAATAATTGACAATACTTCATCTAAGAAATTTGAATCTTATTAATTACTAGTAATAAAGCATATTTAAAACTAGGCAGATGAAAAAAAAATAAGCCTCAAATAAAAAGCAAGAGAAATAAGATGAAAGAAATACTAGTCCAAAACGAATAATAATTGACAATACTTCATCTAAGAAATTTGAATCTTATTAATACTTAGTAATAAAGCATATTTAAGTAAGCAGGGCAGATGAGAAATAAAGAATATGATGAATAAAAAAGCAAGAGAAATAAGATGAAAGAAATACTAGTCCAAAACGAATAATAATTGACAATACTTCATCTAAGAAATTTGAATCTTATTAATACTACTAGTAATAAAGCATATTTAATAAGGGCAGAGATGAGAAATAAAGGTCAAATAAAAAGCAAGAGAAATAAAATAGGAAAGAAATACTAGTCCAAAACGAATAATAATTGACAATACTTATTAAGAAATTTGAATCTTATTAATACTACCATATTTAAGTAAGTATATAGGGCAGATGCCCTTGAATAAAAGCAAGAGAAATAAGATGAAAGAAATACTAGTCCAAATGAATAATAATTGACAATACTTCATCTAAGAAATTTGAATCTTATTAATACCCATATTTAAGTAATCAAGGGCAGATGAGAAATAAAGAATAAACCCTCAAATAAAAAGTTCAAAAGAAATAAGATGAAAGAAATACTAGTCCAAAATGAATAATAATTGACAATACTTCATCTAAGAAATTTTAATCTTATTAATACTACTAGTAATAAAGCATATTTAAGTAAGCAGGGCAGATGAAATAAAGAATAAGCCTTGAATAAAAGCAAGAGAAATAAGATGAAAGAAATACTGTGTCCAAAATGAATAATAATTGACAATACTTCATCTAAGAAATTTGAATTTATTAATACTACTAGTAATAAAGCATATTTGTAAGCAGGGCAGATGAGAAATAAAGAATAAGCCTCAAATAAAAGCAAGAGAAATAAAGAAAAGAAATACTAGTCCAAAACGAATAATAATTGACAATACTTCATCTAAGAAATTTGATCTTATTAATACTAGTAATAAAGCATATTTAAGTAAGCAGGCAGATGAGAAATAAAGAATATACCTCAAATAAAAAAGCAAGAGAAATAAGATGAAAGAAATACTAGTCCAAAACGAATAATAATTGACAATACTTCATCTAAGAAATTTGAATCTTATTAATACTACTAGTAATAAACATATTTAAGTAAACAGGCAGATGAGAAATAAAGAATAAGACTTGAATAAAAAGCAAGAGAAATAAGATGAAAGAAATACTAGTCCAAAATGAATAATAATTGACAATACTTCATCTAAGAAATTTGAATCTATTAATTTATAGTAATAAAGCATATTTAAGTAAGCAGGGCAGATGAGAAATAAAGAATTTTGAATAAAAATAAGAAATAAGATGAAAGAAATACTAGTCCAAAATGAATAATAATTGACAATACTTCATCTAAAAATTTGAATCTTATTAATACTACTGTAATAAAAACATATTGAAAAGTAAGCAGGGCAGATGAGAAATAAAAGAAAAGCCTTGAATAAAAAAAGACTTGAATAAAAAAGAGAAATAAGATGAAAGAAATACTAGTCCAAAATGAATAATAATTGACAATGCTTCATCTAAGAAATTTGAATCTTATTAATACTACTAGTAATAAAGCATATTTTAGGGCAGAATATTTAATAAAAAGCAAGAGAAATAAGATGAAAGAAA